GTACTTTAACTCTAGTTTTCTATAAACGTTTTTAAGTCCCCTGGCATGCAACAAAAATACAGATTAATAGTGAACTATCTTTGCAGGAGCTGCGAATCATTGGTCTAACGAGGCACTAGCGTCTTCACTGAGAGTGTTTCATGCCCTATGATTTTATGCTGTCATTCATACAATGACTCGTGCTCTGATGGCGGCCGGGTGTGCCTCCAGTCCAACCCCGAATGTCCCTGCCTGTCCGCTGTATTGAGGTTGCTTCCCAGTAGGTCTTGGGGCTTCTAGCAGAAATTCCCAGCTGAGTGCATCCAGTCCGGCTCAGAAGAGAGACCTCAGTTCCCCACACAGCTTCAGACAAGACAGAAGACGGATATTCTGGCTACTGTAAGAATGAAGAGGCCTTTCTCTTTACCCATGTTTCTAAAGTATTTTGGCAAAACCTCTGCTGCCCCACGGTCACTGTGGCAAGATTGAGAAGTTTACTAGAAATCGAAGTCAGGCGGAGGCATAGATCCTGGCTGACCTCAGGGCAGAGACCTGCTGTGCTTCCACTGAATAGTGACTCCTTAATAAAGTCACTTGTCTCTGCTTGTCTCTTACGCTTCTTGAGCCACACTCTTCTCGAATTCCTTTCGGTTTCTTGAAAACACCGTGTTTTCTGTCTCAGAATTTTGGCAGAGCTGTTCATCCTGTCAGAGGTGATTTTCTCTCCACTTTCTGCCTCATTTACACCAGCTCACCTGTCAGGATTTTCGTTTTCAGCCACCTCCTCTGGGAAGCTTTCTTTGACTTATGAGACTGAGTCCTCACTTTCTCAGAGTCCCTCAGTACCCTGCATTCTCCTTTATCACAATCACAGGCTCATCATCATCTGCTCAGTGTTTATTTTCCTTGTTGGACAGAAAGCCTCTCAAGGGCAAGGGCCATTTCATCATGTTTACTGTTTCGCTCAGAAAACAGGCCAGTGTCTGGCAGGCAGAAGCATTTTATAAGTACTAGTCAAATGCGACAGTTGCAGGGCCAGCCCATAGCCCAGCAGTTAAGCACTGTGATGTGCAATGGAAGCTGGATCCCACACAGCTGGCCAGGGTTGGAGTCCTGGTCCTGGCGGTTGACATGCCAGGTGTGATGCACCTCGGATCCTGCCAAGATGGAGAACTAGAGGAGAAAGTATTGTGTGTGACAAGGCCTTGTTGGGGGTGCTTTCTCCCTCCCCCCCTTCTCTCTTTTTCTTGGGGATGCTCTTTGGAATAATAAAAGGGAAAATAGGCGATGCTAATAAAAGCTTATTAAGACTAGACTTCTAGTAAGCTGCTTCTCTCCTAGAAACCGACCTGAGCTCCTGGATCCCAGTATCTTTGGTCTGTAGGCTTACTGTCCTGAGATCTTCGCCTCTGCTCAGTTCCCACCTCCCTCACAAGTTGCTTATGAACACCATGGAATGGGTTTGTCACTGCCAATGACTCTACATTCTATTTAGCTTTTACTTCACGTTCTGTTGTCTGAGAGATCTAAAGCATCCTGCTGCCTGCACCAAGCTCTCAGCGAAGTGGCTTATAGCACCGAGCTAGAGTCTCTGTGAAGGGAAGATTTCAGTACTGCTTTTTGGTCCTTGAAGCTAATGCTGCCATTCAGATACTCAAATGGAAATCCTGCTAATGGTTATCTCTGGATGATAGGACTATGCATGATTTCTATGTCTTTTATAAATTTATTTTATAACCTTTCTCATGCCGAATATTTTATATGCAGGGAGGAGAAATACTTTTTTCTTTTTTAGAAAAAAACTTAACTCTTTTTCTTTAGAGAGATTTTTTTGCTATAGTATGCATGCACTCACCAGAGAGACAGAAAGCAAATTACACCCCGGGGGGATGGCCACATTGCAATCCCTTCTCCATTCTCCTCTAGGGGTTTTGGGCATGCACACACATACGCCCTCTATGAATTTAAGCTGCCAGGTCTGGGACTGAAACCACAGTCAACTATGTGGGAGTCCAGCTTTGTACCTACTATGCCATCTGATGTCCTAAAACTTAAAAATTAAAAAAAAAAAAGAAATCCACTGCATTTGAATTTCTTCTTCAGTTACATGACAAGCCGTATATAGAGAGAGCAGTTACTGATTGTTTTCTGATCTGAAACCTTTGAGACTGTCTGATCCTGCTTGCAGTAGCATCGACCCTAGGCATGCTTTCACGTTTCTGCTTTTCAGCAAAGTGAAAACAAGAAGAAAGGGAAGATAATCATAGTGCAAATGTTTAAGGCTATTTAAAAATACGATTGGAATAACTGTTTAAAACTGTGTAACAGCAAGCTGCTAAAATCATATTCAGATATTTTAAAAAATTATTTTGAAAAATATGAACAGTAATCCACATGACTGGCAGCTTTTGGAATCCTATACATGATGCTTCACTTAAACAAACTATCATCACCTAATTACTGGTAGTCATTACATCTAAACAGTCCCACACGAAGTTGGGAGACATAGCTCGTATCTAAGAAAGGAAGAGCAAGCTGGGTGGTGCAGTCGGTAGGGTACCACTGCATGATGCTGAGGCACATGGGAGGCCTCAGATCAATCCCAGGATGACCTGAACATGCCAGCATACCTATGCACACCGGCGGTCCTGACTGGCTAGGAAGCGGAGGGGAGAAGCGCAGCATGGTGAGACACTATCAGGGGTACCCGTCTGTGCCCGTCTATCTGTCTCTCTCCCAGGAAAATAAAGACATAAGGACCAGGAGATGGAGTGGTTACATCACTGGACTCCCACATGGCCGACCATGGTTAGAGTCCCAGACCAGGTAGCTTGAAAATCACACCAGGTGTGTGTGTGTGCATGCCCAAGATCCTAGAAGGAGAATGGAGGAGAAGGGATTGCAGCACGGCCACCCCCCGGGGGGTGATTTCTCACCTCTCTCACAGTCTCTGTTTCTGTCTCTTCTTCCAGAAACTGCATGTGCCCTCAGGCAAAAAAAAAAAAAACCAAAAAAAACCAAAAAAAAACCTCTTTTTAAAAAAAGGAAAATAAAGATGTAAAACTTTTCTTTTCAGAAGTATATTATACTTCTGTTCCATGTTTCACCTTCACCGCTTTCACAGAAAATGAAAAGGAACTTAAACGCTAAAAAAAACTAAAAAAGAAAAATTAAGTCATTTTAATACCTGAAACTTAGTAGGAAACCATTTATTTTAGGGTTTTAACATCAAAGAGATAGACACCCTCCCACCTACAATCCTCACAAGAGAAATTCTGGGAATTTGGAGATGTTTTGAAAACCAAGAATAAAAATTTCCCAAAAAGACATAAACTAAGCTACACAAAAATTATCATAAAGTATAAAATAACTAGAAATATAAGCTTACATAGAGAAGAAACTATGAAATATATTTTAAAATTTTTTACTCTAAAGAAGACTTGTTTATTGAAGTTTAATAGCAAATTATGGATGTATCCTGACAACAAAAACAGGCTCTAAGCCCACTGGAAACTTGCTATAAGGTTCATGAATGTTTATGGATCTAAAAAATAAACCATATGCATCCCAAAAAGGGGGTTACAGTTCCTGAACCTGCAAACTGAGCAGCCTGGTGACACTTCCTTAGAAGTCCCCTCAAGGATAGGGAAACCTGAGGGGGGTATGTCAAATGTCACTAAAGCTGCATCCAGTTGGGGAGTTCTTCCCAGAGTGGAGGTAAATGTAATAAACTGAAAAGCAACCTTGTGAGCTCTATTATACAGAAGAACTTCATATTACACATAAATCAGAGAGAACATTTTCATGAACGTTAAATGTTCTTGAAGTTACAAGTGGAGAAACAGAGCTGTATTTCCAGCGTACGACATTCTCCTGTTTTCCCTTGCGACACTGTACAGAACGCTTTTCACATTGTCCTAATCATTTTCACCTTCATCTGTTTCCCTTACTAGACCCTAAGTGTCTTAATCAGCTGTGTCCCTAGCACCGAAGGCAGCGGCTGGCTTGCGCAGATGCACAGAGTGCAGTAATGAACAAACAGAAGGAGGGATGAATGAATCTTTAGAAGTGGGCATGAGACTCAGGTGAGAGACAGCAGCCTGGACAAAAAAGGGACTCCTTTAGATCAGGTGCTAATAAGGAGGAAGTAGCCTACACTGCCCAATAGGTTTAGGGGCCCAAATACATGAAATAAAAGCCTCTATCAAAATACACATAAATCGTACTTATTTATTTTTATAACCATAGAAGCATCAAAGTAGCTGTTAGCGCTATCATCTAAAGCAATTACATTTTAAGACGTATTTCATGAAAATAAAAACATTAAGAAACATCCAAAAGTTAATTTAGGTTTAAGAATCTAGTTGGCTCTATCTTAAATTGAACTAAGATGTCTAATAAACTACTCTGATTCCTCATCTTACTATAATTAAAGACTCTTGAGTTTTTGCTATTAATTTCCAGGTATAGAAATTAATATATCACTTTCAATTTTTTTTCTTTTTAAATTTTCAACATTTTCTTCAGCTTGTAAAAAATTTAACTATGAACATTATAGTAATTTTAAAATAAAAGAAAGCATTCTGTAAGTAGCTAAAATGACTAAGTTGTTCAGCTGAAAGTCTTGTAAAATGCTCGAGAATAAAAATATAAAGTTTTAGGCTAAGAAAAAAAATGATTACCAGCAAATTCAAATTACAAAAATGGCAAAGCTCTCAGTGCTTATCGGTAGCAGTTCAATTCATACAAAATGATATACATGTAATTGCATAATATATGTTTTAAAAATGACTGAAAACAAAATGCAGAGGAAGAGCAATTATAACACAGACTCCTCAACTTTGACATACTTCTCCTATAAACAAGAAGCCACACAGGTCACTCTGAGAAATAAAGACTAATGAAGCAATACATGTCAAGTGCTTTGTGCTGCCCACACAGACGGTGATAGGACTCATAACTCGACATCTCAAAGTTGGGCAGGGGGGAGGCGCCAGAAGGGAGGAAGAGGAAAAACGTACCGTGCAAATATGAGGCCAGTGTTCAAACTGTTGTAAAATTCCTTGATTAAGGTCTTCTTTATATAACTCTTTGTAAAAATGTGGAAGCTTAGATATCCAAATGCCATTGTTATGCTTGTTTAGTATTTCCTTTATGCGGTTTTGAACCTCATCCATTTTATAAGTGTAAGAGGCAGGAGGCGTGACATTTTGTTTTTCAACAGTCTGATTTAAATTATCTTTAAATTAAAAAAATGATAGAATTAACTGAAATACTTAACATCTTAGATTCACCTCATTATCTAGTATTTGTGTCTTCTGGTTTTTCTCTACTGTGGGCTTGCGGGGCCAGGCACTTAGAAGGATGCAGGATTAGGAAAGCACTACCAGGACAGTCTCGTTCTAAGTTTTAACCTGAAATAACCAGCAGGGGTCAGGACACACCCACAGAGAGAACCTAGACCCTGTACTCTGCAAGCATGTCTCACAGTTTACCTTAGATATCAGGATAAATCTTGCCACGTGAAGAATAATTAAAGTGATTTTTGACCAACCATTTTCTATGTGCAACTAAGGAAGATTAAACTTTAGACAATATTGGTACACACATAATGCTCAATTTAAAGCTGCAGTCCAAAAAGCTTAACAATAATAACAGTAGAACTGAATAACATTTCATAGAAGATAAAAGAAGTTGCACAGGTTTTAAGATTTTGATTTTTACCTATTATGAACAAAAACAAGTAATTTTACAATACATAGAAGTTCAAAAATTGATTCACCTACAATAATCTTCCTACCCTCAATTTACAAACAAGTAAATGGCCTGGAACCTGCAGATAGTTTGTTTTAATTTCCCCCAATATCCATCATTTATCTTTCATAAGTGTGTATCTATAAAGCTTTGGCTAGCTGTGCCATTCATATTTTATTTAAAATTTTGACTGTCTGAGTTAACATCCTGACAATGAAGACATCTGAGTGTTCCCTATAGCTAACAGTTCTGGTATTTTAAGAATTATGAAATTAATTCTAAGCCTCTTCAAAAGTTTCACTGGGATATAGCAGTGAAATATATTAAAATATATATTCAAGTTTTAATCAGATAACCTTTCCACTGAGATTTAGTCATTTTCATTTTTAATTGGCTGGTAAAGACATACAGTGTGGTTTGGAGAGAGTGGCCCCTGAGGATGCCAGAGCAACTGACTGCTCTTCCCACCAGGGGGCATACAGACCTGGTCTTGCTGAGACTTAGATGGGAACACAGAACAGAAGGGGCCCGGATGTCCATACATATTTTTATTAAGAGTGTAGCTAACCTATTCATGTTCTTCCCACATAATAATATAAAGGCACTGGGAAGAAAAATATAAGGGTTTCTCAAAACGGGTCAGACCCGCCCCGTTAATGACTGTGTCAGCAGCTGACCCCAGATGAGCACGGTTCTCCAGAGCCACTGGAATCACTTAAGCGTCTGTACCTTCCACTAAACAAATTAAGAAGTAATCTAGGCTGCCAGCGTGTAGGAGAGACTGTGCATACATGTGTGTGTTTCAGCTCTGCCAGATAAATTGCAATCTTTCTGAAATAAGTCTTGTTTCTGCAGAAAGGATGTACAACTTTGCTGAGTAACCATGTTTCAGAAAACACATAATTCATGTAAACAAAAATCATACTGTTCAATGAATTTCCATGAACAAATACCAGAGATGTGTTCTTACAGGGGAAAAAAAATCAACTCATTAAAAATCACTCTTACAGCAGCGAATCATGTAAAACCACACTTCCGTTCCACACAACAGAAGCACGATTCTAAAAGCACTGTCTCTCAGGAGGGTCAATGAGCAGGGAATTCACACACTGACTGGCGGAGACAAGGTACAAGTGGGTGCAATTCTAACCTTTAAATTCTTTGACTTTATTATGTCTCCAGTGGTTTTCTTAATGGTCCTTTTAGATTTTTATAAGGTGAAGAATTATTTATATTCACATTTAGATGCTTTGTGGTCCCTGCACACAGTTTAGAGTGACAGCTTTTGAGTGGTAGGTGATCTGAACCTCTCTTATGAGTTGTCCCATATTTATGTATTTTAAACCTAGAGCAGGGGGTCGCCTTTGAGTAAGATCTCCGCCTCCGAAGTCCTACAGGTGCACCCCCAGTGAGCAACATGCTGTTACTCTGCAGGCGACACACGACACACGGAAGTGAAAGAGAGTAGGTGTGGTGTGAGGAAGGCCTCAGGTCAGAATACCAGTGACATCTTTACAGGTATCATTTTCCCTTTAGATCACCTCCATTTGTGATCTAAAGAAATTAGGAAGAGGGAGAGAGATATTCCAAGTAGGAAAATATCAGAAGTCACCACCAGCTATTTTTCTTGGCGTTCTGAGGCTCTCGAAGCCAATACGTTTCATGAAGGTAATGTTTAGGAAACATACCACTCGGTTCCTTCATACAGGTTCTCGAGATATGCATCTGAAAAGGTGGTGAAAGGGATGCCTTCGGGCTAAACCTAAAAAAAAAGTAAAATAAAATTCAAAGAGCAAATTCTGTACCAACATTTTTAGACACTATAGTTTTCGTTTAAAGTTTCTGTGGCATTAAACAGCGAAACAAGCCATTAAAGCCTCTTTTAGAACTTAGAAGTCAGAATTCCAATTAATCACCTTTAAGGGACTAGCAAAACAGAATAAAGAAAACCATGCAAAGCATAAACAATTAAAAATAAAAAGTATTTTGGAATACAACCCCTCAAAGTGAAGAAGTTGCATTGCCAAATATTAAAATGCATTACAAAGTTACAACATTTAAAACAGACAGATAAATAAAATAGTAGAGAGCTTAAAAACATTCCATTTATGTCTTAGCACATAATGCAAGTGGCACTGCAAACCAGGTAAGATAGAGATTGCTCAAATAACTATTTGAAAATGAAAAGGAAACACAAATACCCCACCCTGCACCCTCACCAAATTTATATTTCTCTTACAAGGTATCTTTCCATTTGTATTATGCTCTTAAAAAAAGAACCAAGATGGTTTATATCTTAAATAATCTGTAATTAAATGGTTTAAAATATAGTCCATTTCTGGGACCAACAGTTGGTGTAATGGCTCTGTCACTGGACTCCCATGTAGTCGACCCTGGTTCGAGTCCTGGGCCTGGTTGCTTAAATTCACCCCAGGCATGTTTTTGTGCGTGCCCAAGATCCCGAGAGGAGAATGGAGGAGAAGGGATTGCGGCGTGACCATCCCCCCTGGGGGGTGATTTCTCACATTCTGTCTCTCTGTCTCTGTCTTTCTTGTGAGTGCACGCACCCGATAGCAAAAACCTCTCAATCTCCCTCTTATGTCTCTCTCTCTCTCTCTACATATATATATATGAGAGAGAAAGAATATATATATATATATTCCATTTGGGGCCAGCATTTGGGGCCAGCAGGTGGCATGAAGGCTAAAGTGGCTGGGTCCCACATGGCTGACTGCAGTTTGAGTCTCAGACCTGGGGACTTGAAAATCATGCCAGTCACCTCTGTAGCATACATGCCCAAAATCCCAAGAGGAGAATGGAGCAGGAACTCTGGTTAAACCACCCTCCCAGGGGGTGATTTCTCTCTCTCTCTCTCTCTCTCTCTCTTACTATCCAGTGAGCACACATGTCCTATAGCAAAACTAAAATTAATTAATTTTTTTTTGAGAGATTTTCATTGTAGGGCGCGTGCGTTCGCCAGACAGACAGAGAGAGAGAGACATAGAGACAGAAAGCGAGAAATCACCCCCCAGGGGGGATGGTCACGCCGCAATCCTTTCTCCTCCATTCTCCTCTCGGGATCTTGGGCACGCACGCACACGCGCCCGGCGTGAGTTTTAAGCCACCGGGTCCGGGACACGAACCACGGTCGACTATGTGGGAGTCCAGAGACATAGCCATTATGCTAACTGCTGGTTCCCTAAAATTAATTAATTTTTAAAACTTAAAAAAATAAAAGCACCTAAACCATTGAAGATAGCTAGGTATGCGGTTCTGAAAACTCCTGTTAATTACACCATACAGAATTTTAAATGATTATTATGAGGGGCTGGCAGGTGGTACAGTGGTTGGGATGCTAGACTCCCACATGGCCGACCACAGTCTGAGTCCTGGACCTGGTGGCTTACTTTCTCATTTTCCCTTTCTTTATCTCTCTGGTCAAATTAAAATAATAATAATAGGCCAGCAGTTGGTGTGGTGATGAAGGGTGCTAAACTCCTACATGGCCAATCGTGGTTCAAGTCCTGGACCTGGTGGCTTGCTTTTTCACTTTCCCACTCTTGCTCTCATTTTCTTGCTCTGTCTTTCTTTGGTCAAATTTAAATAAATAAATAAAGTTAAATAAAATTTAAAAAAAGAAAAAAAGAAAATGACAACTTTTAAAAATAATAAAAAATAAAATAATTCTTCAAAAAATTATTATAACAAAAGGGAAGACAAACACATTTATATTACATTAACCCTCAGAACAAAACCTTATACGCAGCTTCTGCTATCAATTGTTAAACTTATCATTCTGAAATAAAGGTACCTAGAGGTCCTGAGTCCCCTTCACCCAGCTTCTTCCACTGGCAAATCTTGCACAGTATCATATCAAGACGAGGAAACTGACATTGCAACAATCTAGAGCTTTTTCAAATTTTACTAGATTTACATGCACTTGCGTGTGTGTGTGTGTGTGTAGTTCTGTGCAACTCACATGCATAGATTCATGTAACCACAACTATAAGCAACATACAGTCTTGTAGTGACGGGGCAGTTCCCATCTTTTCCTCTTGTCATTTCACAAATGTTATGTAATTAGAATCACATAGTAGGTCATTTTTTGGGGGTTGGGGGAGAGGTTTTTGCTATAGGGTGCTTGCACTTGCCAGAGAGACAAAAAGCAAGAAATCACCCCCTCAGGGGGATGGCCATGCCACAGTCCCTTCTCCTCCATTCTCTTCTCAGGATCTTGGGTATGCACGCACAAACACCCGGCATGAGTTTAAGCCGCCAGGTCCAGGACTCAAACCACAGTCGACTACATGGGAGTCCAGAGACATAGTCATTACACTAACTGCTGGTCCTGGTAATTCTTTGAAATTGGCTTCTTTCACTGAACGTAATTTCCTTAAGTCCATTAAAGTTGTTGCATGTGAGGACCAGCAGATGTCATGATGGTTACATTGCCGGAGTCCCACGTAGTCGACCGCGGTTCGAATCCTGGACCCAGTGGCTTAAAACTCACACTGGGTGCATGTGCATGCATACCCAAGAGCCCTAGAGGAAGATGGAGGAGAAGGGACTGTGGCATGGCCATCCCCCTGAGGGGGTGATTTCTTGCTTTCTGTCTCTTTGTCTCTCTGGCAAGTGCACCCACCCTATAATAAAAATCTCTCTCTCAAAAAAAAGTTGTTGCATGTATCAATAGTTTGTTCTTTTTCATTGCTGAGATATGATATGGATATACCATTCACCTGTTGAAGGATATCTAGGTTATTTCCAGTTTGGGCCTACTATAAATAAAGTTACTGTGAACATTATGTATGGGTTTTTGTGTGAGTTTAAGTTTTCAATTCTCTGGGATAAATGCCCAGGAGTATAACTGCTGAGTTATGGTAGTTATATGGTAGTTATATGCTTAGTGTTCTTTTTTTTTTAATTGACAAGTAAAAATTGCATGTATTTATGGTATACAACATGATGTGTTGATATGTATAGATTGTGATATAAATCAAGCTATTTAACATATAGTATACATTGTCTCTCACATTTATCTCTTTGTTTTTTGTGGTGAAAACACTTAAAAATCTACTCTCTCAGCAATTTTCAAATATTTAATACAGACAAATCCCCAAATTACAATGGTTCAACTTGGGATTTTTTTGTCTTTAATATAATGGTATAAAAGCAATACATACTCAATAGAAACCATGTATTGAGTCCCCATACAAACATTATTTTTTATTTTCAGTCTTTGATAAATTATATGAGCTATATGTTATACGATATGCTTTGTGTTAGATGATTCTGCCCAACTGCAGACTAATATAAATGTTCTGCGCACATTTAAGGGAGGCATGGGAGGCCAGGCTTTAAGCTGTGTCACTCAGTAGGTTAGATGTATTAAATTCATTTTCAACTTCGGGCATTTTCAACGTACAGTAAGTTTATCGGGTCATAACCTGTTAGTTGTGGAGCCCCTGTGTGTGGTTGTTAATGATAGTCACCAAGATGTGCAAGAGATCTATTAAACTTACTCTTCTGTCTGAAATTTTGTGTCTCTTAACAAACATCTTCCCAATTCTCTCAACCCTAGTAACCACCATTTTACACTATTTTATGAGTGTCATCTTTAAAAAATTCCTCATATAAGTGAGATCATTCAGTATTTGTTTCTGTGTCTGGTTTATTTCACTTAACATAAAGTCCTCCAGGTTCACAAATACTATAACCAACAGGACTATCATTTTCTTTATCCATTCATCCATTTAAGTTTGATTTCATGTTTTGGCTATTATGAATAATGCTGTAATGAGCACAAGTACAGATACCCCTTCAAAATACTGATTTAATAACTTCTAGGTATATAGCCAGTAGTCAACTGTTGGATCATATGGCAGTTCTACTTTTAATTTCTAAAGGATTTTCCCATGCTGTTTTCCATATGACTCTACTAATTTACATTCCATCATCAGCGTACTGGGACTCCCTTTTCTCCACATCCTTGCCAACATTTATTTTCTTTTTCTTTCTTTTTTGGTTTTGTTTGTTTTTATAGTAGCCATCCTGTTGGGTATAAGGTAGTATTTCCATTGTGGTTTTAATTCACATTTCCCTGATGATTAGGGATGTTGAACATTTTTTCATATACCTATTGGTCATTTGTATGTCTTCTTTTGAGAAATGTCTATTCAGGTCCTTTGCCCATTTTTAAACTGAGTTATTTGTTCTCCTCCTGATGAGTTGTTTGAACTTTGTGCATATTTTAGGTATAACTGCTGCTCAGAGGTGTGGTTTACAGGTATAGTCTTCCATGCCCCAGAGTCTCTACTCTGTGGACTGTGTCCTTCACTGTGCAGAAACTTTCTGGTTTGATGTAATAGTTTTGACTTTGTTTTCTGGGTCACATAAAAAACAAACAAACAAACAAATAAACAAACAAAAAAACTGCCCAGATCAATGTCATGGAGTTTTTCCCCTTTTCTTCTAAAAGTTGTAGTATCAGGTCTTACATTTAAGTCTTTAATCCATTTTCAGTTGGTATTTTCATATGGTATGAGATAAGGGCCTAATTTCAATCTTCTGTATGTGAATACCACGTTTTCCCAGAACCATTTATTGAAGAGACTATCCTTTCCCTATTTGTGTTCTTGCATCCCTTTCTTTCTTTTTTTTTAAAGTTTATTTTTTTCTTCCATGAGAGACAGACACACAGAAGCACATGCAGAAAGAGACAGGCATACCCAACAGGGTTTTCATACCACAATCCACTCCCCCACCCCCGACCTCAGCCAACAAGGACACGGCCACAGCATGCATGCCTGGCATGGACAGAGAGACATCAGGACAAATCTGGGACCATTCCATGTGGCTTGAGCAACCTGGAGTGCTACATTACCTCTGTGCAACTATGGCTGGCCTGCTCTTTGCATCGTTGTTGAAAATCGATTCCCAGTAAGTATATATTGATAGGTTTTCTATTCTAGTCCATTCATCTGTGTCTGTTTTTATGTTAAAATTACACTGTTTGGATTACTATAGTTTTCTAATAGATTTTGAAATCAGTTAATGATATGCCTCTATGTTTTGTTTTGTTTGGGCTTTTTTTTTTTTTTCTTTTTGGTTCATTTTGTCTATTCAGGATCTTCTGTAGTTTGATATAAATTTTAGGTTTTTATTCTATTTCTGTGAAAAATGTCACTGAAATTTTGATAGGGATTACACTGAATCTCCAGATCACTCTGGGCAGTACAGACATTTTCACAGTATTAATTCTTTTCATAGTTTTTTTTTTTTCTTAAGAGAGATTTTTTGCTGTAGGGCATGTGTGCTCACCAGAAACACAGAGAGAGGGAGATGGAAAGCAAAATCACTCCCCAGAGGGGATGGCCAAGCCGCAGTCCTTCCTCCTCCATTCTCCTCTCGGGATTTTGGGCACACATACAGACATGAGCCAGGCATGAATTTCAAGCGGTTGTATCTGGGACTTGAACCATGGTCGATCACGTGGGAGTCCAGTGATGTAACCATTACACCATCTGCTGGTCCCTGCTTAGTGTTTTTAAGGAAACAACTAATCCGTTTTCAATAGCAATGTATGAGTAATTCTAGTTTCTCTGCAACCTTATCAGCATTTGGTATTACTACTACTTATTTTAGTCATTCTGATAAGTGTGTGCAATGTTACCTCACTGCAGTTTTAATGTGCATTTCCCTAATAAATTATTACGTTAAACATTTTTCATGTGTTTTTACATCTAAAGTAATTACTGTTATGTTAGGGGTTGTGCATGTAATTTTACTTTATGTTTTCTTTCTGTTCCCTCTATTTCTCATTCCTCTATTTCCCTTTTCTGGCATTCTTATAGGTCAAACAGTTTTGGGAAGTCCACTCTGATTAATTTAGTATATCACTTTGTACGGTTTTCTTAACGGCTGCTCTACATATTACAATAGAAACAGGTAATACCACATTCTACAAGTATTAATGTTTTGTCACTTCGACTGAAAGTGTAGAAACCTTATTGGCATTTATGCCTCTCTGCCCTCCCATTTCATAATTGTTTTAAATATAACAATAATCAATTCAATTGTTATGGGATCTGATGCATGTACATCAGAGATCAGTGAACTTTTTCTGGAAAGGGTCCAGCAGTACATATTTTAGGCTTTACAGGCCTTCTGGTCTCTGCATAACCATTTGGCTAGGACACTATTGTGCAGATAGATACAGTTATAGGCAGTACATGCAGTTGTAGGCCATACATCAATGAAGCGATGTAGCCATGTTCCAGTGAAACTTTATTTACAAAAACAGGCACCTGGCCATGGATTGTAGTTCACTGACCTCTCAGCTAGCTTCTAAAACCATAAAATGTATAGGCTGTCCTACTGCTACCGGTCTTGGATTCCGATGCACAGATACCTGATGCTACTATATAATGATGGGCATGATTACTGGAGCAAAGAGCGTATACATTGTACTTAAAACTTATAAAATTAATTCTAGGAGAAGATTTTCAGAAAATTTTCTAAGCTATACCGAAATATAGGTTGTCGGGACAGTCATGACGCATTCTTCTGTTTTTCTATGTAAAACTGCATCATGACTTTCCCCAAAACACATGTTATGACACCTTGAGAGCTTTTAAAATAAATCTTATAATGAGAGATTATCAACAATTCAGAAAAAATATATAGAATGGAGGTAGAATCCAGAGTATGAATCGGGCAGCCGGGAAAAGTGAACTGCTATGTGAACTTAGATAAAAATACAAAGTATTTTTCTTCTTAGCCTGAACATACACCTTTAACATTTATTATCTGGGCTCACCAAACCACTCTTCTTAGTCAGACCAAGGCCAAGTACCTGCTGCTGGCAGACATGGTCACATGCCTCTGCACTGGAACGTCTCTGAGCACTTCATTTCCCAGAGCTGTGTGTAATGCACACGGCGGCATTTCAGCATCGGACTTAACTCCAAGAGAGTTTCCCTTGTTCCTTAACAGTGCTGGATTCGATTTTTTGCTGACAGAAAAATCTGAAGCAAATCCTGGTTGTCTGAGGGTTGCTTTTGGTTTTCCTGTGAAGTCAGGCACACATAATAGGTCAATTAGCCTTGTAAAACCCTAATGTCACCATGTCACTCCCCTGACCAGATGTTTTCTGTGGGTCTCGGATCTCAGAACGGTTTGTCAGGACACGAGGTCTTGCCCCTGGAAGTTGGTCAGTGAGGGTAGAGGGGATAGGAGAGTATCTAACAGGGGGGGGTTGTATCCACCAGACAAGCCAGCTGCTCTCTCTCCTCACCAGCTTATCGTGTCGGTTGTAGCTTCCACACTTTCTTACCAATGCAGCACACACAGCTATCTCAGTCCTCCCACCCAGTCTCCTTCAATCTCCTTCCACCCATCATCTGAGGCCTGGGCTCAGGGCTCCCCTTGGCCATGAAGTCCTCCACTGACGTTCTCATTTAGAATGCCCACTGCACTGGTCCAAAGCACTCACTGTGGCATTCAGCTGTCCACTGTTGTATATCATCACGGGACTATTTCTTGAAAATTTATAGTTTTAGAACTGACTGTAGGTCTCCTTGAGATAAGTGTTCAGTAAACACAGACTGTGTTGTCTATAAATAATACTGTTGTGTACTGCACAATTCATGCTTTTTCAAAAACGGAGGTTTCATACCAAAAGACATGAAGACATAATTTGCTAAATAGGACACTACAAATCATGGGTTCGTAAACCCATGATAAGGCTGTCCCTCGAATAACCTTAAGAAGAAAACCACATGTTGCCATAACAAGCTTAATTAATATCTGCTCTGAGCTACGTCACCTTGTGTCACTCCTCACTCAGTACATCACGCTCATCATCTTCACGTAAAATTTTCAAATGGAAATGCTAGCTTCCGAATTTTCCTCCTGGCATATGAGTGTTAACAAATACAGGTGGTGGGGCCAGCAGGTGGCGTGATGGCTGGAGAGCTGGACTCTCACATGGCTGACTGCTGTCTGAGTTCTGGACCTGGTGGCTTGCTTTCTCACTCCCCAGCCCCACCTCTCTTTCTCTTTCTGGTGAGCACATGTGCCCTTTAGTAAATTAAAGAATAATAATAAATAAAATGAATTAAAAAAACAAACATAGGTGTTTATCATGAATATAAGCAGTATTTCCAAAATTCTCTATGACAATGTATTCATAGGTCTAAAAATATTAGCATATGAAAAACCCTTACCTTCTAGGAAAAATGGCATGGTTTTCTTCACTCTCATCTGACAGTTAACCTGCCGCCCAGTTTTCCTTTTAGAACTTCTCTGACAAGCCACAAGCTGAGCAATTCTTGCTGTTTCCGTGCAGGCCATGGCATAGCAGGTAATCTATTCATGAGAGGCAAGGTCAGAGAAGAGACATCAGGTTCAGGGTCGCCTAGAGACCAAAATTGGTTCAAGTACTTTCCTTGAGAGAAAGAGAGAGAGAAAAGGGGAGAGAAAAAAAGACTGACTTCCCTAAGGGTCTCTAACACTACTGTCCTCCCCCTGGCCTTCCAGCCAGTAGGATCATGGGCACACCTGCAAGTGTGCCTGGAGTGTTCAGGCTGACCTGGAACCCGAGCCTGGGCTGTCCCACATGGCTCCTGTATTGTGCAGTGGCACCCTACAGCCTGTACCGCTGTGGCTGGGCCAAGTTTATAATGTTCAAAAGTGGATCTTAGGGAGACTACATGTCCCAAATCGAACTAAGCAAATATTCATGTCTCTCTCTTCTTAATCATGTTAGAACAAAATCATATTTTCTACAAGAATATCAAATAATCTTTCCCAAATGGAAAGTTTCATTTATTCCTTAAATAGGTATTTATTAAGCCTTTAAAACACACTGGGTATGATGGGATTAACAACTGAGCCAAAAGAGAACTGTGATCTGCATATGTTACCTCATATATGCCGAAGAATAGTTTATCCTCGTTTTACATATGAGAAAGCAGAGACTCAAGGCAGTTAAACTACTTCCAAGTCATGCAGCAAAGTTCTCTCTCTGTGTCCAAAGTAAGTACTTGTAACGTCTGTGTGTGTGACCACTCCAAGACTACTACATTCTAGTCTTGGAGTTTGCTGGATGATTGAAGTAAAGCTCAGTTCACTCAGCTGTAAAACAGGCATGGTGTAGACCTCGACTGTTCACTGGAGCCACAGAATTCCACAGAGGTAAACTCCAGGGCTGCCACTGGCAGGGGTATGTGGGTAAAGGAGGGCAACCAAGTCCCTGGGCCCTCCACACCTGCTTTAAAACATAGCAGTTCAGCTCTTGGCCTTTTAAAAAAACAACTTGTATGATATACAGGATATTAGGAAAAAAAAAAGACTTGAAGTATGAGGATTATTGGGACAGATCTCTGAAGGTCTGTCTAGTTATCAAGACTTTGACTCTAAATTCAATCAAATCCAGGCAAACAATGAGGCTTTACACCATAAGTCAAAACACGTTTCTACTCTTTGGCCAAGGACTTCTCTTCCTGGGAATATATTACTAGCAATGTAATTCAAAAGAAAAAAGTTACCTACCCCAGTAGATGCACTGTGGCCTATTTTAACAGTCAAAACCTACAGACATTTAACATGCCCAAACGAGGTAACGAAGGGTTATATAAATTATAATACAGCAGCTACGTGAAGCATGATTAGTGTATTAATTTGTTCAGGCACTTGATCATTCATGTATTCCACACATATGTATTCAATACCAACTATGAGGGGTGGGAAAAAAAAAGAAAACAGTCCTTCACCCTCAAAAACCTTTAGAAGGAAAAAGAGAGAGGCAAAGAAATGAAATAGAAAACATGTCGAGTGCTATAATGGATGTATAACAAGGTGCCAGTAGCAGAATGGAGGGTTTAAATCTCTCTAGAAGGATCAGGGGTGCAGAAGCATCTTATTATTAATATCAAGTTGCCAGAAAGTCATGACATAAGTTTCTATGTTTTTCTATGCAAGAATGTGTCATAACTTTTCTGACAACCCAAAACTTAATGTTTCGTATTTCCTTATAAAAATGATTACAGATTAGGCAAACCTGCCCTCTGTCTGCTCTCCTCATCCTGGTTCCCTGGTTCTCCTCCACCCTCTGCTTCTTCCCTGACCACAGCACCCAAAGAGAGGGCCTACTATATTAAGTTTTGGTGAGAAATACTCTAGACCGGTCCTATGTCTTGGCATGAGTAGCGATGCACCTAGAGAACTACAGTGCTTTGAGGAAGGAGGGCAAGTGTTTTCCTGTTTGTCTTTCGGGTGGCGACTGTCCACATCTGTCACAGTGCAGCAGGTAGATGCCAAGACGTGAAACTGCTGGGTCGCAGTGAAAGCACGATAAAAGATTAACCTGCTACCATTGAATGGCCCATTGTATTAAATGTATATGGAATACATTTTCTTCTACAAGTAGATGGATTTAAAATGGTAGAATAATACAGCTGTATGGTGTGAAGACGAGGATAGGCTAGAGAGGGCAGAGGTAGGCTGGGGGAGAGTAGAAAGGAGGCCCCGGCTAAGAACCGAAAGTGATGAGTGACCGAGGAGGAACTGAGAGAGGTCCAGATGGCAGAGGTCACCAGGAGTGCACTCAAGTGATGAGAATTTCAAAACGTCTGTGAGATGTGGCCATCAGGAGACCATCAGTGGCTTTGGCAAGAACAGCTGCATCAGGTTTGGAAAGGGCAGGTGTGACACTGAGGCAGTTCAGGCCTCCAGTATAGCTGTTTGTTTTGATGTTAAAATGAGATAAACTTTACCTCTGAAGGTCTTTTTTAGTGTGCTAAAATCATACTCTTACAGTGAAAAGAATTTGAGGGGTAAAACAAAAGACACCCAAACCTGAGCTGTGCTCTGGACGCTGTTCACTCTTATCACTCACCACCTAGCTAACACTAAGCTAGCACTGGACTTCCACCACAGGTATGAGATTGGAAGTGCCAGACAGGCAATGACAACTTGGTGTGATTCTTTCCACATGCACAATTACCTTCTTACCTCTCCAGATCTACTAGTCTCTATCCTGACCACTGCTGGCACGCTCCTCAGATAGGCTTCTAGTGTAGGGTAACCTAGCTGTTTGAAGGGGATCCAGTCTCCAGTCAAGGATCTGTACTCTCCTTGGAGCCGGGGTAATGCTATTCCATTCTTATGAGACTGCAGAACAGCTCGGAGCATCTTTGAAACCAGATCTGCTTCCAGCATCTTTGCCTATAAGAACATAGTAGAAGGTTGGCTCATTAGTCCGTGAATTCACATAGACTTTCAGAGGTGAAACTTGTTAGATTGTTGCATAAATTATTACTGAATGCTTTCTGTGCAATTACAATACAGGAAAACAACTGCTGTGGTAGAGAGAAGTACATCATACCATGAGAATGCAGGGGCAAGTCAGAGAGGTGCAAAGACTCTCCTGGGAAGGGGCGCTCTCAGAGCTATGAGGGGAAACCTGAATGGAGTCCTACAGGAATTGGCAAGCCAGGGGGAAGACAATGAGCTGTGGGGCTGGCAGAAGTCTCAGCCCAAGGAAGGGAAGGGGATGTGCAAAGGCACAGAGGTGAGAAAATGTACATGATGTAGCCCGAGAATTCCAGGCACCTAAGTTCTTGGACAAGACTGAGGAAGACTTCAAGCTGCAAGCTGATAGATGGGCTAGAAGACTAGGGCAAGAATAGATGCTAAAGCATTTATATGTGCTAATATGTTTGCATTTTAGCCAAAAGGAATGTAGTGCCTTGGCAAGATTGTAAACAGAATAAAATGATCAGATTTGCATTTTAGAATGATCATTATTCAGCAGTAGGGAAGACAAATTGAAGGAGAAAGAGTAACAAGTTGTAAGAATACTTGGAAATGGGGAGGACCAGAAAACAGACCTTGAGGAATATACAAAAAAACTCAACTGGAGAGGAAATTATTGATAGAAAGCAGAATTGATAGGAATGAATTAACTGGCTCAGATGATGATGAGAGCTCTCAAGTCTGTAGGTTAGAAGCATAGTTGACAGAATTCGGGAAAAGACAGGTTGGCGGAAGAGGAAGAGAGTGGATTATGTGGATACACACAGGCTGGGATGCTTGCACGACAGCCACGTATTGGGTGGTGGGGGAAGTCATGATCCATTTTTGCATAGAAAAATATGTCCTAACTTTCCCGATGACCTAATGTTTACTTATTCATTCCCTAGAAACCTAGGTTAGAAGTCTAAGCTGGTTACAGATTTATTGGTTATTGGCATCTAGAGGATTGAAAATAGGTTAAGGGTGGACCTCTGTGGAAGGCTGTCATTTAATAAACAGGCAGAGACAGAGCCTATTAGGTCACTGCCAAAGTCGTGACGTATTTTTCTATGCGAAAATGGATCATGACTTTCCTGACCATCAAAATAAAAAAGGCTGGGAGACAAGCATAGAAGTGGCTGAGTCATTTAAACAAAAAGATGAAACAATCAAGAACGTGTGGGGCTGGCCCCATAGCCTACTAGTTAAGGGAACTGGATCCCATATTGGCCAACAGCTATTTGAATTCTGGCCCTGGTGGCTTGAAAAACATGCCAGGTATGTGTGTGCACATGCCCAAAATCCTGATGGAGAAATGGCGGCCCAGTACCCATTGTGGGGTGCTTCTTCTAGCTTCCACCTTGTCTCTCTCTGGCAAGGGCATGGATCCTCTGGCAATTTTTTTTAAAAAGAAAAAGAACAGTGTTTAAAAGTGTCATATACAGCGGGCAGGTCAAGCAAGAGAAAAAATGAAAATTGAATTCGTGTAGCCTAGGAAATCAGTGGGGGAGGGACCAGCAAATGGCATAATGATTACGTCACTGGACTCCCATGTAGTGGACAATGGTTCGAGTTCTGAGTCCAGCAGTTTAAAACTCACGCCGGGCATGTGTGCGTGCGTGCCCAAGATCCCGAGAAGAGAATGGAGGGAGAAGGGATTGTGGCATGGCCACCTTCCCCCCGCCCAGGGGGAGGGATGGCAGTGATTTCTCGCTTTCTCTCTCTCTAGTGAGTGTACCCTATAGCAAAAAAACTCTTACTTAAAAACAAACAAACAAAAAAAGAAATCAGTGTGGGCTTTGGCTAAGGATTTTTATCCATTAGTCATGAACATTTTTCAACATTAACCACTATTATTTTCTTTGAATGATTGCATCTACTTTTAGTTTTACAGAGAAAATACAGAATGGAGAGACATTCAGAGAAATTTGTACAAGCAGTCAGGAAGAATGGCTTATCCTTTCATTGAAGGAAAACAGAAGGCAAGCCACGGACAATTTGTTAGTTTCTCTTCGACAGTGCCATCCAATTCAACTTTCTGTGATGACAAAGCTGTTTTATATCTGTGCTGTCCAGTATGGTAGTCACAAGTCACATGACTTTAAGCACTTAAAATGTGGTCGGGATGACCAAAGAACAAAATTCATAATTTAAATTAAATGCAACTAGTGGCTACCATATAGCACAGTACAGAATTAAAGACAGCCATTTATTCTCTCTGGCTTAGAAAGCAGGAAGGACAGGCTAGCAGGTGGCATGGAAGTTAAAACAGCTAGATCCCACAAGGCTGGCTGAGAAGTTCAAGTCTTGGATCCAGCAACTTGAAAATAATGTCAGGAGTGTGTTCGTGTGTATTCAAAATCCCAAGAGGAGAAGGAACTGTAGTGTGGCCATCCTATGTGTGTGGGGGGGTGGTTTCTCACTTTCTCTCTGTCTCTTTTTCTCTGCCTCTGGCAAGCACACACACCCTATAGCAAAACTAAAAAGCAAAACAACAAGAATAGCATATAATTCTACAGATTTCTTACCCAATTAAAAAAGAAAACAAAGTATCAGCTTCTTTATGGATGTTTAAATTATAAACATGACATTTAATCATGGCAAGGTTTAAGTAGCAAATCAAAATCTAAGAATTTATTGTGCATGTTCCACTAATAAATATCAACTCTTTTTAAACTGTCACTACCACATGGACACTTAATACTATAGTCTAGGAAAGATCTACATTTGGCTATATTCCTGTCTTTCTATAAGTAAAAAACATGTGTCTTTCTATACATATGTATAGATTTTACATATATTATAATATTCATTTGGGTATAAGTTACATAAACCAACTAATTTCATGTGTACTGTTTCTTGAGTTTTGAAAAATAAATACGCCCATGTAATCATCACCACAATCGAGATACAGACATTCCCATCACCTCAAAAATTTCCATCATATCAACTGCATAGTACATGTAAAAGTAAAATGCATAATCATGCAAAGAATGACAGAGAGGGAATCAGAAGTACACCACTGTAAGATTCTTATACTATATATCAAATTATTTGAAGATACATTGTGATAAATGTATTTATATATA